AGAAAACTATGTGCCTTTTTTTTTTTTTTTTTTTTTTTAATTATTTTAGAACACATTTATAAAATTCTGATTTCTTAAATTAAAAAAAATTAATAAATGTTTCACTTACCACAAATAAAAATAAACAATCAATGGAAAAGTCTTGGGCAAGCTCCTCGGACGATTTTGTTGTCATCGAGATGTATATAAAATGACAGTTCGGTGTCAAAATGTATGTATTATCTACGGCACAAATAGGCTTCAAATCTGTTTAAAATCGCATTTTTGTCCTTAGTTTTCTATCAGCGGTTTCCATCAAGAAATAACTATCACCATTTTTAGTCGGATTTTCATTAACTGTGCACTGTTTTGTTTTCAAAAATAGAAAATTGTTAACGTCATAATGCAAATGAGATGGTTGAGTAATTGAGATACAAGTCTCTGAAGGGAAACGTGGTTCCAATCCTTTGTTAGGCAAAAAATTTTCCCTAATATTAGTGGGGAACAATTGCTAGCTTCTGCAGCGTGGAAACTTGTTTGTGCCTGCGACCAGTAATTCTTGATGCTCATACAATTCTCCTTGGACAGCAGCAACAATGGAACCATGGAGAAAGGCTTCTTTCTGTTTTTTTTTTTGTTGTTGTTGACAATTATGTTCTGTTTATCAATGACTGTACATTCCAATTATTAAAATGTCTGTGACTAAGTCTTAGCTACACCTCTGCAACCTTTACAACCTATTCATTTGTTCAAATATTTTCCCATTATCAAATCCTGTTGCCATCAACATCTTTCAACTTCACAGGATAGCAACAATGTTTTATCTGTGTCTTTTTGGGAAGCAAAGATAAATAACATCACGTGTTATCAGAGTTATTCAACAAAGCAAAAATAGGTAACTGTGAGTTACCAAATATGCCATGAAAGATGACTAATGAGGGCTGATAATGGGGTTGGGTTCAATCCCCGGTAAGGGCTGGGATTTTTTCACGTGGACTTGGACTCCCAGTAATTTCCCCTGGTCTCTAGGTAGTGAGATTGGATGCCAAAGTGCATTGCTGTGCATGTAAAAAATCTCTTGGATGTTGGAAATCGAAAAGATTAGCCTAATGGCACCGCCCAGGCAAAATGTGGAGTTAAAAATCTACCCAAAATATTTCAGGATCCTTGCCGGTGCTACAGAGCCTGTGCACTGTGCTGAGCTTCTTCGGACTCAGACTTGAGTTAGAAGAAGAACGGAGCACTTATGGGTTACACTAGTGTGCAATGATGTTGATCCGTTGTTCAAAACCTCAAATTATCTCCTAGAAGCCCTTAAAAAAAGGGAGACAGCAATCAATAGAGAAGCTTGGAATAAGTTGGTTATGGGCCATCGCTCCAATGGAGGATAAAGGACAGAAGAAAATGCCTTGCAAAGGCAGGGACTTTTTTCAAGAAAGCAGATCAACAATTCCATTAGCACACAAAAATAAAGGTTGTTTTCTTTGTTTCACCCGGGAGCCCAATTTAGGGTTAAAAAAAGCAACAACAACAAAATACACACACAAAAGAATCAACCTCCTGCCCGCTAATTGGGGTTTCACTAAATTTTATGTGTTGGGCTAAAAAAGCACAGATATAGTTTAGCTGTAAACAGTAAATCTCAAAAAAATATGCCAACTGCCCTACTAAGCGTAAACATAGCAGATAAAGGAGGAGGAGGAGGAGATGAAGAAGGAGGAGAAGGAGGAGGAGGGCATGAGGAGAAGAAAAAGGCTGTGTTGGCACAGTCACAAAAAAAGACATAGAAGTGACTAATAAAATACTGGGTAACAAAATCCATACGAAGCAACAAAAGGAGATGCAAAAGAATAATCTTAACTACATCGGCATGCAAGTGTACTGATATGATAATCTGACTTGTACAGACAGAATCTGAAGAGGCCTGCTGGACATTAGCAATTTAATGACACTATGTGAAAGCTGAGTAGGTGAAACATGTTCCCGCTGACATACAATATAATCCCACTTGCAACTGTGCAAAGTCAGAAGTTAGCAGTTGCAGTGATGCAGGGGCAAACACTAATGCCCACCGGTAATGCCAGGTGGTCGTTTATTCAAACCCCCCTTTCAGGTGAAGATTCTTTCCAACTAATATAAAACTGCGCTTAAAATAATAAAGGAAGATATTAAACTAAACCAAACAAGATTTAGAACTAATCCGCTATTATCAAAATCAAGAATGATAATTGAGCGTTGCAGGCAGAAAGACTTCATCAGCATATGATAGCAAAGAAAACTTCCACATAGTTTAAGACCTTCGGCATAATTTCAAAAACATCTGCCATCACTAATCAAAGCGTCCAACAAAATATGCAACATGCCTCACGGTGCAAAAAGGTCCTTTATTCAAATTACAATTGTTATTTACATTTGTTCTTGTTTTGTATGCAGCACAAAATGATACAAAAACACAAAGAAATTTCAACACCAAAGTCCATTCATTCTAGGCAGAACAAACATCATTCAGCAAAACATACCAAACATACTTTATTTCCATTCCCATTCTAGAAGTATGTTATTTACACAATAAAGCATAAGAAAATTAATTTTTTTGCAGTAGTAAATAAAACCCAATATCTACCTAAACCAATAGTATTTTACTGATCAAGTTACAGAACATCGGCCACCAAGTCGCCCATTGGCTTGCCGGTGGTGTGCAAAGCTAAGCTATTTTATACATCACACATAGCCTAGTCACAATTATAATTAAAGCTTCCCCCCTAGTCACAATTATAATTAAAGCTTTCCCCCTAGTCACAATTATAATTAAAGCTTCCCCCGTAGTCACAATTATAATTAAAGCTTCCCCCCTAGTCACAATTATAATTAAAGCTTCCCCCTTCGGAAATGCAGGTTGAACGTGACGACTTTTTAAAAATATTTTTTTTTTTTTAGCAAAGCACCTAACTAATTATAGGTTTAAAAAAAAAACCTACTTCAATAGTACATTTTTTTAAACAGTAATATATGAAATTCTTTATTTATCTTCCCCGTTTTACAGGAAAAACAAGAATAGATCCACTGCCTTCCCAAAAGCATGTCGTAAGAGTCGACTAATTGGGAGCATCTTTCGAAGTCAGAGTGTATATGCCTGAGAGGCAAGGAACCATCAGTGTGCATACAAATAAGTCACATTTGTAAAAATCGATGCACATGCAAACACTCAGATTATGGAACAGGACTACAGTCCAGAAGTGGATGAACAACCAGAACTTTCCACTGGAGTTTACAGCTGGTGAATGCGAAGAAAATTTTATCTGCAGTATTTGATCTGTACGGCTAACCTAAGCAGTCCTATGTTTGTCTCGTCGTCATCATTTTTCTCTCATCAGGTATTTTAGTTCCTGGGCTGGTCACAAAACTTCCCAATAATTATATTCCCTTTTTATCTGCCCTGTGCAGAGAAACTTTGGTACAGACAAGCAGCATGAACTCTCTGGGTACCAAAGAACACACAATGACTTGATCTACAATTTAATTTGTAGTTTTCTGGTACAAAAAGAGTTAGGACAAGCTGCAAACAAATGGCAATACCAGCAGACTGATTGGAATAGTTCAAAATCAGAGGAAATGCTGAAGAACCTGCTCATTCAAAACCGGACTCTTCATCATGCATTTAATGTCTTCTTTTGCACTGTTCTGAACCACTTTTGTCTTTAATTTAATTGTTACATTAGGCCAAGCTTCCCCTGTAGCTTTAACCTGTTTTTGTTAAACACAGCATCTAAATGACCTCCTTGCGATGCAATATTTCACAGTTTAAAGTATCTATGGCGGAAACAATGCCCGGAGAATGAAAGAAATTAAACTGCTCTTTTTCACTTTTGCATAATTAACCTTTTTGCCCTGAGAAGCATCAAACCAACAATTTTGGTTGATGACATGCCGTAAATGTGGCTTTAATGGCATTGCAATAGTGGCTTGCTGACGTGAAGCCTAACTAACAGCACTGGTTTTATTGTGCAACTGGTTTAAGCATCAGGAATGTTATTTGCCTAAAATAGCATTTATGTGGGGATTTCTTGCAAAAATTTTTTTTTTTTTAAATGGGTATTATGACACAACACTTTCCTATTAGTGAAAGTAAGTAACAAGTAAAGGACCCTTCTCATTAGTCATAGTGTTAAATGGCGACTGGATCAAGAATGCATCATGTTTTAAATTTGTTTTTCTGCTCTCAGAGAGATATAACCTGATTAATTCTCTGCTGCATTTGTGTTTATTGATTACTCCCCTTATTATGTATGGAATTAACACTGTTTTGATCCATAAATGGAATTATTATAATTTTTGTGTGATCTGTGTAAAGTGGTTGTTGATTTATAGATTTTTCATAAATTCTGAGGTTCATTGCTTTTTAAAAGAAAATTTTTAAGATGGTGTTTCTGGTTAAAAAAAATTAACAAACATCCCATATTACAGCCCAACTGTAAACCACAACACAACGTGACAACCATCTTTATAATGGCAAATGCAGAAGAATTTACTGTTTAAAAGTAGTATCAACCGCTTCTGACATTTTGATTATAATGTTGAATGTTGAATTAAGAATCGACATCACAGCACCCAGGACACTCCCATAAGTGCTCAGTTCCCATCTTCAGCAGCAAGCAAAGAGTTCCAATTCCGATGGCACCAGTAACCGTCTGATTGTATATCCGTCTCAACCTTCCCCTGAGTTTTGAGCGTCGGCCAGATCCCCTGGTAACTCCTCGCAACGCCATACTCCTTAGACCGTCCTGATCTATTTGTGCCTCTGCACTGTTCACTCGCTCCCAAAGGGCTCTCCCATCTCGTAATGATGCATTCAAATTAAAAACTTCTGATTCCATAGAGCATAGATATTGAAAATAGAAACAAGGACAAGGTTAAAAAAAAAAATAATAATAATAATGAAGGTGAGTTATTTTCAAACATACAATAACCAATTTACAATAAAAGTCTTTGAACATGGACAATCACAAAACATGAATACTCACTTTGCAAACCTCCATGTGGAAGCATGTGTTGAGAAATGAGCAGTCGCCTAGAGATTCTGCATTGACAAATAAGATAGAATTTAAACCTCATTAAATGTAAATAATAAACTAATACAATATATTAGTCAAGATTGGATATGTCCCACTTAGGCAAACTCTTGTCACAGACCTACATACAAGACTTGTCCATATGTGGTGAAAGCAGATAGTCTGACATTCCATAATGCTAACTTCCACATTCACAAGACAGTCTTTGTTTAATGTTGATGAAGGCTTTTTAGCTGCAGCCTTACTTTCTCTGTTGTTTGTGACAGTGATGATATGACTGTGACAATGTGAATCTGACTTGGTCCACTTCTCATTTTTTCAATATCTTTAAATGGTGTCATACAATCCAGTAGCATATCATAAATATAATGTGGCAGAAAGATTCTTAGAAAACAATGGACAAAATAACAAAAAAACAGAAAGGAATATTAACTTTTTAAAAGATCTGACTCAAGAGCTATGTAAATCCTATCCTGATATCATCATCATCATGTGTATTGCCACCCACAGATCACGATCCCTGGTTGCCTGGAACAGCTCTCTTGATGATAACCCTCAATGCCATCATTTCAGCCCATCCAGCATCATCTCTCTTGGTCTGCCTCCACCCCTCTTTCCACTGATCTTTCCAGTCAACACAATGTTTTCCAATGCCTCTCTTCTCATTAGGTGGCCAAAGAATAGTGTTTGTCCCCTTCCTATATCCTGATATATGAAAGTGAATACTGGACAGTTAGTCAGTTTGTGAAAAATTATGCAGAAGCGGTAGAGAATGTTGAGAAAACCAAGGATAGATAAAAAGAGTAATGAAGATGTTTTGAGAAAGAAACAACCTACATTCTTTGGTCATGTCATGAGAAGGAGAAAACAGAAGTATTGTGACGGTGGGAGAGGTGGAAGGAAAAATAGGCAGCAGGAGACAGAGAAGATGCTGGATAGTCTGACACCATGGTACGGAAGATCATCTGTGTCAGAACTGACTGCAAGTACTTGAGACAGAAGGCCGTGAACAGGAAATGACTACCGAAGCCACTTGGCATTGACTATAAGAAGAGGAAAAGGTCTGAACAACAAGGAAAACTGGCTTGTAAACAACACCTTGTTTGGAAACTGAAATACTTTAGCTACATCAAACATCACATTGGCTTGGAAAAAACAGTAATGGAGGAGAGTGTACTGGCAAAGACAGAGGATGACCAGCCTGGGAGTGGTCACAAGACATAGAGCAGAACTAGGACAGGAAAGTGCATGGGGCAGGAAAGCTGGTAAAGGGAAAGTTTCAGGTGGGTTGCAATGGAATAAATAATCTGTAAAGAACCTATTACATGATGATATAATAAACTACTATTGTTGTTGGCACCCTTGTGACTTTCCAAATGACAGTGTTAAATTGTGCTATGAGCGGGTATGGTACTCACAGTCCATGGCAATAGTGAAGGTGACTAGCAAGACCCGCCCGCGTTATGAAAAAATCTTCAACTATTATAGCATGGGATTTTAGGACCATTGTTCCAATCATCTGTTTAGTGTGTTTCTTCTCAGAAGCTTAGCTCTTCTCCTCTCTGCAATCTTTTCTTCCTCCTTCATTCCCTTCCTGTTTGCCCCCCCCCCCCCCCCCCGCCCTTTTTTTTTCCCAACACAGCCATTAGAATTTTCCCCCCCACCAGTCCACCTCAATACCAGTATTATTCTTGTCCCACCTGAACACATCTTTATAACGTAGTAAAGATTGGCCCTGACTTCTACAAAATACAATTCTATATTAATAGAGAGTTAACATGTAGAATAACCCAAATGTAGCATTCCAGGTATAGGATAAGACGACAGATCAACATTATGGTACAAGGGCAGTAACCTATAAATGCTCCGTTTTACTTCTGACTCAAGCCTGAGTCCGAAAAATCTTAGCGCAGTACACGACCTCCGTAGCACCGGCAAGGATCCTGAAATACTTTGGGGAGATTTTTAATTCAAAATTTTGTCCGGGCAGCGCCGTTAGGCGTGTCTTTTTCTATTTTTAACGTCCAAGGGATTTTCAACATGCGCAACAATACACACTGTCATCCGATCTTACTACTCATAGACCAGTGGAAATTACTAGAAGTCCACATGAAAAAATCCCAGCCTTCTCCAGGGCTTGAACCCGGGACCCTCCAGCACTCGAGGCGGATGCCATGCACCAAGACCATGCAGCCCCCGCAGCATTCCATTGCATGAACAACCTTCGTGCAACTTATCCAGGTTCACAGAAGATATAAAATGACCTCAGGAATGTCATTATGTTTTGTTATTACAACTGAGGAGGGAAACTGGACTAAGTCACAGTAATGGAAAAGCTGGAAGGTAAAGCAGGAAAAGGGAGACCCAGAAAGATGTTTGGCATCATGGCAATGAAGGACATCGACATCAGAAGTGATTTACACTACACAAGACAGAAGGTTGTGAACAGACATGATTACCAATGTCAGGTGACATGAACTATAAGATAAAGATCCAAAACAAATCAGCAGAAATTTAAAAATATGGAGTCCACAGAAGAATTTAAAGAACAGTAAAAAAAAAAAATCGTCAATAATAAAAAATGGACATACTAAATTTTCCAAAACTAGAACAAACTTTAATTCCTTGAGCTATCTTATCTCCTTTTAAGTGTTGCACAAACAGTGAACACATACACATATCATGGCTTTGATTATGCTAGCAGTCCGGATGAGAAGACAAAAGATACAACACTTAGCAAGCACTGCAAGATGACATCAGATAAGATAATATAGTAGTCCATCTGAGAAAATAAAAGATAAAATTGAGCAGTCACTCTAAGAGGACAAAAGAGAAAATATTATAGCAGACACTGTTATATGACAATCGATAAAATATACTAGCAGTCTACATGGAATGACAATTGATAAAATACTTTAGTAGTCCATCTGAAAAGCAAAAGGTAAAATAATTATATTAGTCAGGATGAGCAAACAAGGGATAAAATCATGCACGAAGTCTCAGTAAAAGGCAAAAGATAAAATAACTCGACCATTTGTCTGTTCAATAATTATTTTCCTGAAGTGCGAAAAAGGATAAAATTATTTTAGAAGTGACTGTGAAGGGCAAAAGATTAAAAAAAAATTACCATCTGTGTGTTCATGAATTATTTTCTTAAAGTGCAGGCGCTTGCAGTGAGCTCCCTCTGGTCCTGTTCTATAGCATTCTTCCCTGGTTCCATACTGACAGAACTCCTGTAACTGGGGACCTGTACAAATAGTAGCCATGCAGTTTATTATAAAAAAAAAAAAAAAAACTACTGCCATTAACCCTCTTCCCCTGAAAAAGCAGTTTATCAGACATTTATAGGTTTTGGTTGACACGGTATCCTTGGACAGTGCCCAGTATGATAGTATGACAACTTTTTTACTAGCTGCAACTGCATAGTGTAAACACTGTGAGTATAATTGTATTTACCCCACACAATTTTTTTTAAAGATATTACTTGGGGTGAAATAAATCAGATTTTTTTTTTAATTGTGGAATCATCATGATGTTATAAAATTTCATTACTACATCACATTGCTCTCTGCGGCAAAGTGACCAAAATCATGGATAATGGTCAAAAGGAAATAAATCTGTGAATTCTTTGTTCAATTTGTATTTAGTGATACTTTACCTACATGCAGAAGTAAACCTTTCCCAGATTTATACATTTAATGGCTGGAACAAACTTCTTAATTTTATTAGTTATGTGACGCCATCAAAGAACTCTTGCATGTCTTCTCAGTGGTCAAGCGGTTCTTCTTCAAGCGGTTTTGTTTGTTCATTCACTTCTGTACTTTAGTCTTATTCCAAAACCTGATTTTTGTGTGCACAACAGTTTTACAGATCTGGCTCATTTTTATTCAGACTGCTGCTTCTTTGCCTCTCAGAAAAATACACTTCGATCTTCAAAGGAAACATTCCTAATTAGTTGACTCTTATGGCATGTTTGTGGGTCTATTCTTTTTGTTCCCAACAATAGGGCTCCGGAACCCACATATTGATGTCTAAGGGCTTGACACCCTGAAATAAGCTGATGTCAGAAACAAACTTCCAGGGCTTTTATCATAAATGCTTCATCACTGACACCAACAGCCAGCATAGAAGCCCAATCCTAATGGTGTCAGCTGCAGTTTGATCATGTGTCCGCCTTGCCTTCCTTCTGGGGGTGATGCCCAGATTCTCTGACCACATCCAAGAGAAGATCCTTCTGTTATCAACTTCATGGCAGCATTTTATTTTTGTGTCCACGATGCCCCCCCCCCCCCCCCCCCCCACTTCTCTTTTTTCTTCTTTTGTCAACTCAATGATACCAGGTTGTAGCCCAGTGTTGCAGTTTTCTGAATTTGTCTTGCACGTCTCGGGTCAGCCACACCATTTAATCATTATCTTTCTTGGTCTTCCTCTCGTCTTCTTCCCAGATGTTCTGCTGTAAAAAGTCCCATATGCAGTTTGGTCTGGCTGCAATCTCACCAGATGGCTGAACAACCTTTGTCTGTGAACATAATCCAGATATGGTCTTATTCCAACCTTCTCTCTAATGTTGGTTTTCTGTATTTGTCTTGCGCTTCTTGGGTGGCTTGGGTGATGGATTTGTTCATCTTTTTGTTTCAGGTCTCTGCCACGCCATTTATCCACTTCTTTCTTGGTCTTCCACTCACCTTCTTCCCAGATGTTCTGCTGTAAAAAGTCTCATTTGCAGTTTGGTCTGGCTGCATTCTCACTAGATGATAGAACCACCTTTGTTTGTCAATATAATCCAGACATGGTCTTATTCGACTTTCTCTCTAATGCTGTTATTCATAACCCTGTCTCTTCTTGTGTTGTTAGTGACCTTGCAGAGACAGCACATTTCACATGTAGTACCCCCTTCCCACAATGTACAAATTTGGTATCTCTGAATATCTTGTTTTATGTTATGATTTATCTTCTTTTCTCCATCTAGCTGATGTGTTAGAAAAGTTCTTTGCTAGTGATCACCACTGCCAATTACTGTTTCTTGGAAGAGGAAAGTGGTACCCCATGACCATGTTCAATGTTACAGGGCTGAGCACTACACATCAATATTACAATACTAGTCCAAAGGTCTCATAATCTCCTTTTATTGTCACAGAATAAGATATCATCTACAGGTATTTCTTCTTCTTATGTTGCCCCTAAATAAGTGCTCGGTGAGCACAGCTTGGATGTGACATCTGTGTATTTCAGCATCATCATCATGTGCCATGCCAACTGGCATAGGCGCTCATGCGTCTTCAGAGATCACGATCCCTGGTTGCCTGGAATAGCTTTCTTGATGATATCCCTCCATGCCATCGTTTTAGCCCATCCAGCATCATCTCTCTTGGTTTGCCTCTACCCCTCCACCGATCTTTCCAGTTGTCACGATGTTCTCCAATGCTATTTCAGCATAACACATTTAAATTCATGATATGCTTGTTAAGGGACAGTAATCTACCCCCCCCCCCCCCCCCCCCCCCCATTTTACCCCTCCATCAATCCTACCTTTGGTAATACCATAGAAAGTATTTCACATGCTTGTCAACATAAAACTGTTATTACCCCTTACCTTCCCCATCCATATAGAAAATGTACATGCTTGACTTATTTTACTGTCAGCAACTTTCTCAAATTTGCATTCTGCAAGACAGCCAGCCATTTATGACTCATTCATTATAATGTTCAACTGTCAAGTGATTTTAAATGTGTGCAATATGTACGCAGGGTTTCCTTCCTTTCAACTCTTATGCAGTACCTTTAAATCATTTCACAAAACATCAAAGAAACAAATGGTTTGGTTACCTGATCATAATAGAACAAAACCGGCCAGCAGCTAGAGCATACTACATGAGAACAGCAGGCTATAAGACAAGAGGCCGACCAAGAAAGAGATGGGTGGATGGAGTAAAAGAGAGACTGCAGAAATGCAATATGACATTGACACAAGCTAAACAACTAGCAAAAAACAAGAGACTACATCTAACTCCTCTCTGTAATGCTTCACGGCATAAGCAGTAGGACAAAAGAAGAAGAAGAAAAAGCAAGATGTCTATTCATCCAAGCCACTATTCCATGACTATCTCGGACAAAAGAAGAAGAAGAAGCAATATGTCTACGCATCTAAGCCACTATTCCATAATTATCTCCAAAGAAATCTCAAATTCCAGCAAAAGAGGATAAGCAATGTATTTAAAATTTAGAGAAAGACAACTGTTGCAAATTATGTTATTAAGAACATCATTTCTAAAGCACAGCAACTACATTAACATTACCTCCCCTTGACTTGAACTTTTCAACCAACAACTGCTCCTGTAGAACAAAAAGTAAAGGAATAAAAATACAAACATGGATGTGTATTTATAAAATAATACAGAAACAGTAATAAGGATGTCTCCACACACCAAGCAAGTAATACAAGGAAATTAAACATAAATGAGAGTTGGTGGAGAATCCTCAAAGGACACTGCCTAATACCTCAGATGCATTGAAAAAATCAGGTCCTCAGAGTATGTTGTGACAAAAATTTGAAGCTGAAGGTAAATACCAATGGAGAAGATAATAGCTTGGCATATTGGCATGAAAAAGAAATGGCTTTAAAAAAATTTGGCCACACATGAAGATCAAGCCAATCAGCAATGATAAATGGGTACTCCACTTTGTTCAAAAGTGTAAAGTAGACCACTGGCTTACTTTGAGGTACAATTTGCCTAAGAAAATAGAGTTTAAAAAAAAAAAAGGATATTGGTTCAATGCCTGATTATCATCATAGTCCTAAAACATTGTGTATCTTTGGTTGACCAGTTTCTCTCGACTCTGATCAACTTCCTCCAACTGTCGGTCAGATGCAATGGATTTGATGTATGCATCTTTGAGGCCTGACCATTCAGCCACATTCTGTATCCAGGTCTTTCTTGGTCTGTCTCTTTTTCCCCTCTACACAGTCCTGCAGTAAAGTTTTGGAGATGCCAGTGGATCTTGTTACATATCCCTACCCGTCTTTGGATCTGTAGACAGGGTCAGAGTTTGCCACTGTGTTGAGTGATGACACAGTGAACTTTGTAATTTGTAATGTGGTCTCTGTATGAGGTATCAAGGATATTTCCAAAAGATCTCATTTCCAACACTGATCTTTTCCTTTCAGGTCCAGATGTTAAGGTCCATGTTTTACAGCTGTTATGTAAAGGCACTGACAGCTAGTACTCTAGGCAACATCATCATCATCATCATCATTATCATTCAGTAACACTGCCTGTCACTGGGTCACCAGTTTCTATTGACTGTCTTGTCTAATCAGCTCTCTCCACCTTAAGTGGTCAGTTGCGATGGACTTTATGGTCGCACGCCTGAGGCCTGTCCAGTCGGTCAGGTTCTGAAACCAGCTCTTTCTTGGTCTGCCTGTTCGCCTCTTTCCCACTACTGCAGTATTATTTTTGAGAGGCCGTTTGATCTTATTACATGTCTATACCATTGCATTGTTCACCTTTTCACTGTAGTTAAAAGAGGTTAAGAGTTGCCAATGTGCTGTATAATTATGTGGTCAACTTCTTTATTTGTAATGTGGTCTCTGTATGATATGCCAAGAATTTTTCTGAAACACCCCATTTCCAATGCTCGTATCTTCCTTTCAAGTTCAGCTGTTAACATCCACATTTTACACCATATGTAAATGCAGCTAGTGCTCTAAGCAGTCAAACCTTAGTTTTGCATGAAATGTTTTTGGATCTTTATGTCTGCTCCTTGATGTCGTCTGGGCAATCCTAGACATGATTTCTGGTCTAGACCCCAGGTCACTTAAAATGGATTCCAAATATATTAAATGATTGACTTGTTCTAATTTGTGACCTTTAACGCATATAGGAGAAGTTATGCCAGCTGGATTATTAGTCATCACTTTTGAATTTTTCGGCATTTATCTCCACGCCATACTTGGTTGACATTTCATCAGGCAGATTAATAAGCTCGACTAGCTCTTGTTCTTCCCCGGCCAACCCATCAATGTCATCTGCAAACTTTAAGCTTGTTATAGTTCAATCTCCTAAACTAACTGTTCCACCATGTTGTTCTAGGTCGTCAGTCATAATTCTTTCTAAGAAGATATTAAACAGTGTTGGGAAGAGGTGGCAGCCCCAACGGACTCCTACTGTTGTTCAGAACCAGCTCCCCATTTGTCCACTCCGCGTGACAGCACTACTGACCTTGGCAGAAGGCAGATCTATTTGTCAACAGCACAGTGCGCCTCAGGTAGTATTTCAACCCTGGCGGGGGCCCACTCCTCTCCAGATTACCATTTCGCTGTTAGCCTGTATCCTCACGGATACAGTTTCCAGCCTGCACCATGGGGGAGATGGGGTTGGCTTGTGCGATCACGGGACACCAGACGGCTACCAATTTTAGCTGTTCACCCTCCTAGGAGAGCTAGCTGCCCCCACATGAAATATTCAATATGGGAACTGGGAAGAGAACCAGATGGCCTAATTGGAAGCTGCAACCTTGTTCTATGAAGTAAATTACTGCATCAAGACTTACATTATGTTCTGACACTATATTTGCATGTAAAACTGTGCAGTTGAATTGCAAATTAAAACTGAGGAAATTCAAAATAAAGGCATAGGTAGGAATCCAGAGACAAAAGTCAAACAGAGGAAATGATCTAAAATAGGGCTCTATTCAACTGGTGGCCTGTAGACCAAATGTGGCCCACAGAGGTCTAGAAAATTATCCTAATGACAGCATTAACCATCTAACAAGAAGGGACCAGGCCACCATCTTCAGACTCAGAACACAACATACTCCACTCAATAGTCATCTAAACAGAATATAGTCACAACACTTCCCAGAGTTCCAGCTATGTAATTACCCCTACAAAACTGTTGAACACTATCTCTTTATGTGCGCAAAACTCAGAGAGACTTGAATAATGCTACTTATTCCGAGACCAGAAGTGTGGAACACCTTGTACGGAGGAAAAGAACAGCTTGTGAAAACATGCAAATTAAACTACATGGCACTGGGCCAGAGGGCAAAAGCTCATGTGCTGCTGGATCGAGAACAATAACATTATTGATTTTTCAATGCAGAGGCTCAAGTCTCTGGCCCGTGATAATCTCCTATGTCAACATTCTGGTCCCTGAGTAAACTTAGCTGAATAGCCCTGACCTAAAACATGACATAATTCATGCAATGAAAATATAAACCAGGTAAGGGAAGTACAGAACATTCTCTACCCGTGGTAGAAGACATAGCAAAAACTGACACTAAACCCCAACCTGCAGAAAAAAAAATACACACAAAGTTAACAACCAAAAACCAAAAGGAGCTGTTTTCACAAAGAAATAAATTTTAATTTCCAATAAGAATATTTCTGGTCCCAGAGTTTTTAACAATTAGAATTCCGTGATTTATTTCCACAATTAACATTTACTGAATATTTTCCATAACTGACATTCACTGTATTATTTCCACAATTAACATTCACTGTATTATTTCCACAATTAACATTCACTGTATTATTTCCACAATTAACATTCACTGTATTATTTCCACAACTAACATTCACTGTATTTATTTACCTTAGCTGTCTGTGTTACTAGCAATGCTTGAATTTCTTCATTCAGTTTTTTCTCTTCCCTCTCTTTGGTCGTCTGCATAGACAACAAGCTCTAAACAAAACAAAAATTAAGAATTACAGATGATATATATGTGTTTATACGTATCAGCGAGACAGTGAAGACTAACTGGCTGTCAAACATATTGTATATGTATTTATAGCTTTTACATTATAATAAATTGTTTCCATTTTCATATACTTAGTTTGCCTTCTTGCCTACTTTCTTTACTCATACATTTTGCTCCCTTATGTATCCATACCCATATTCCTAACTTCTATTCTCACATATCTTGTTTCTATACTCACTCTGCATCTCTTCTGAGCTCCATCAACACACCTAAACATATTCTTAGCAAATTTACATGGTAGTCCTACAGTATCATCATTATCATCAGCACAAAGCAGGTCTTTTGCAGAATGTCGCTCTCACCACGGTCTGCCTGAGTGAAACTCGGTCTCTCACCAGCTCTTCCGCCTCATGTACATTCATTTTCAAGGAGTCACATAAATTCAGTGCCATCTTCATGTTGGTCCCCTCCTTCCCGGTTCCATGCCTTCTGCTTTTATGTTATCTAATCCGCCACAGTGATTGATATGACCAAAATATTTCAGCTATTTATTAGCCAATCTTCCTTGATGTTCAAATCTTTTAAAATGTCAGTACTTCTCTTCTTTGTTCATGGTATTCTGAGAATCTTTCTATAGCATTTCAGCTCAAAAGGTCTTTCTTAAGGACTGATAGCCCTGCAAATATATACAAAATACATTAGGCATGTCAAACAGAGGGTCCCCTGACAGCCATACAGGTCAAATTTTGTCGTTATGAGTCCACATAAGACAACTAATTGAAGTCTTTAATAAAAAGTATTGCAGAATATTTCTTCCATGCAAGCCGCATACATCATCTTCTTCTTCTTCTTCTTCTGATTTCATCCAAAGATGTAATTGCGTTGTGTCCGTTTACAGCATGGCTGCGATATTTGCACCTTTCGGTCAACACATCCGACTTATGCAGGTATTTGTTGACCGGGTTAGCCTTCCCAGTTCCATACATCATCTTTCATACACGTGTTTCTAATTTCTCTTAAAAACCACACTCCTTGTATGTCATCACATACCTCTATATCACCTGACTCAGGTCCAGACACTGTCTTGATTTGTTTGCTGGTCATTTCTTCTTCTTCTTCATCATCACTGAAACAACAATTAAAAAACAAACACACTAAAAGGTCTGTCTGTTGTCACTAATGTTTCAAACATCAAGGAACAATCCTGCGTTGTGCAAACAAAAAGAGCACATGGTAAATTTGAAAAGTCAATGTTAATTACGTAGCAAATCTATTCTTGAATTTCTAATGATGAGATATAGTGTAATTAGAGACATCGTGATTTATGTATTTCAGCAGAAAGGATTCACCTCTGTGCTTCACTTTATGTTGATATAACTCTGTACTAACATACCTGATAAAATATAGTGAAAAATGCAAGGAAATAAACTATGCAATGTATTGTCTGTCCCCACATTATCTGAATAAACGTAAATGTCCTTTCTTAATAAACTCCCTAGTAGTGGCAACGGGGTTAGAGCACTTGCCTGCCAAGATAGTTTTAAAGGGCTCAATTTTCAGAGGTTTTTTTTTTGTATCGCCATGAACAGCAAGGCTCTGGTGCTGACCTAGCCTTACGAAAACTGGCAGCTCCAGACAATTTCAAAGAAATCATCTGGCAAGGAAAAGTGACCAGTAAGGACATTGTCTACATCATCTCATACATCTGGTGTAAAATATGCAAAAACACTAACAACCCCAACAACAAGTACAGGCTTTGGGACTACTACCTTTACTTTATCAGCACAGATTTAAAGTCATAATCAACATGCTGTTGTTTTTCAGTGTCACAACTTCTTGTGTACTGGATACAGTTACTAGGAATAGACAGTTATGGAGTAGCACATTTAGTAAACAAGAAAAACAATTTGGAGGGGTGGGGGAGAGACAGGAAAGGAGAGAGTAAAAGGAATGATAGAGGGAAAGATGAAGATCAGAGGAAGGGGGGGGGGGGGGGGGAGAGAGAGAGACAATGGAGGAGACGGAAAGGAGGGGGCAAGAGGTAAAAGAGAGAAGGGGAGGGAGAGAGAGAGAGAGAGGGGGGAGGGGTAGGAAAAAAGAAGAGGGAAGCTATGGGGGAATTACAATGTTGATCACCAAACACACTGTACAAAACACAATGCAATCCTTGCTTCTAGATACGCACACAAAACACAATGTAATCCTTGCTTCTAGATACGCACACAAAACACAATGTAATCCTTGCTTCTAGATACGCACACAAAACACAATGTAATCCTTGCTTCTAGATACGCACACAAAACACAATGTAATCCTTGCTTCTAGATACGCACACAAAACACAATGTAATCCTTACTTCTAGATACGCACACAAAACACAATGTAATCCTTGCTTCTAGATACGCACACAAAACACAATGTAATCCTTGCTTCTAGATACGCACACAAAACACAATGTAATCCTTGCTTCTAGATACGCACACAAAACACAATGTAATCCTTGCTTCTAGATACGCACACAAAACACAATGTAATCCTTGCTTCTAGATACGCACACAAAACACAATGTAATCCTTGCTTCTAGATACGCACACAAACACAATGTAATCCTTGCTTCTAGATACGCACACAAAACACAATGTAATCCTTGCTTCTAGATACGCACACAAAACACAAGGCAACGGCTACTCTCTTCCGCCCCATGTACTGCTGTCTATGTGTATCCATGGCCTGAAAATAGCCGATAATCAACTGCCCTCATACCAGAAATGACCGTAAATATCTAAAATGAAAGTAGCCGAAAATTGCAGACGATCACCTTGGGGCGGTCCAAATTCCAGGCTTTATCAAGTCAGTATATCTTTTCCAAGGCGAAAACTAAGGTTCAAGGTCAGGAAAAAAATTTCCAGGTTAAATTCCAGTTTCACGGTAGGCTACGATTCCCGTCAGTCGTACGAGAGACTTATAACAATATCCCATGAACATGGTGAAAATCAGCACCCGAAACTTGCATCACTGCTTTGTGAACTCAAGGGTGTAACCAGAATGAGTGTTTTTCTTGCCTACTAGGACAGAAATAAATTCATATACACCCCATTTTTCTTCAAGGCACAAAGCAGTGATTCTTAAACTTCCTAATCCTGCGACCCTTTAATACAGCTTCTCATGTTGTGATGACCCCCAACCATAAAATTATTTTTGCTGCTACTTCGTAACTCCAGTGAATATGTTTTGTCCCTGTGAAAGGGTTGTTTGACCCCCAAAGGGATTGCGACCCACAGGCTTGAACCGCTGGCACAGAGATTAAATAATTATAAGTAAATGCTATTCACAATTTTAGAATTCAAGATGTTTAAAATTTTCATACCTTTCGAATTTCCTTTTTCTTGACTGACCTTTTGTCATAGCCGAGAGCTGAAAGAAAGTACTTATTTAACAACTGACCAAATATTTCAACATTAACAATAAAAACGTGAATAAAGTGGAAAACTAATTTTCATTTATTGTGTTGGTTTTTTTGCCACGTTTCATCACATTTTGTGAATGCTTGGTTACAAAAGCACCTCAGAATCATCAATACTAAGAGTCACTAATTTAACGATCGTCGAATCTGGTCACTAAGCGACATGACTGAAAATTCTACAATCGTCAAATGAGGTCAGGAAAGTGTTAATGAAGCCCCGGAATCTACACAAGGGGGCTTTTTGTTTTATAATGTATGTCATTATTATGACGCACTCAAGGAAAGAATTGGTGAGATCGAGTAGCACAGTGGCTAGATGCTAGTCTGTTGCCCTTAAGGTCAAGGGTTCAAATCCACACTAAAGAAGATTATTATAACTGACCTTCACCTTCACGTTAATCCAGCATAAAATGGGTCACAGCACCAACAGACAGGACCCAGACATGTTCAGAAATTACAACATCACATAGCTAACTTGGCGCAAATAAAACCAGACCAGAATTATAACCCTGCTCTCAGCAGGGTTGAACATGGTGAAATCTGTTTCTTTTACGCCAAAAAAAAAAAAAAAACAACAAAAAACAGCAATGTCCTTGCAAGTAAAGGAAGCTGGCAAGATGCAGACGTCACCCAATAAACGTCAACCGGTCTATAAAAACATGGATCTAGCACCATATCACAATGTGACACTGGCAAGAAAAAAGGCCCTTTACTTCCCTTTATTTATAACAAGGGAACTAGGTCCTGTGGTTTTATATTTGATATCCATACATCTTTCTGATTAGCAGACTAAAGACAGCAGAGCACTTCTTGGAGTGAAGGGGAGGGAAACCAAAGACCCTGATAAAAATTATGTCAGTAACTTACAGATTGATAGTTTTAAATTATGTCAGTACTTACAGATTGGTAGTTTTCAGTTATGTCAGTAACTTACATATTGGTAAAGCTTTCAATTATGTCAGTAACTTGCAAATTGGTAAAGTTTTCAATTATGTCAATAACTTACAGACTGATAGTTTTCAATTACCTTGGCAACTTATATATTGGTAAAGTTTTCAGTTATGTCAGTAACTTACATATTGTTAAAGCTTTCAATTATGTCGGTCACAGACAGATCAGTAAAGTTTTCAATTATGTCAATAACTTACAAATTGGTGAAGTTTTCAATTATGTCAGTAACTTACAAATTAGTGAAGTTTTCAATTATGTCAGTAACTTACAGATTGTTAAAAGTTTTTAATTATGTAAGTAACTTACAGACTGGTAAGTTTTTCAAATATGTCAGTAACTTACAGATTGGTGAAGTTTTTCAATTATGTCAGTAACTTACAGATTGGTGAAGTTTTTCAATAATGTTAGTAACTTACAGATTGGTGAAGTTTTTCAATTATTTTAGTAACTTACAGACTGGTAAAGAGTTCAAAACCGTAATATTACAAATAATAATCATTTGAAGGCACTGGTAGTGTTGCGGCTAGACGCTTGCCTGCCAGCTCGAAGGTCTAGGGTTCAAATTCGCACTGAGAATATCTTTCTTCTTCAAAGATGGCGTGGTTTCCAGATCACCCAATTTAAAATGGGTATCAGGTAAAGTCATGGGAAGTAAAGGCAGCCAGAATGATGTTGACCACACTGATCTATAAAAATATGTCTGGTATCATTTGCCATATAAAGAGTCCACTGCATTACAAAAAGGAGCTTACATGGCACTAGGGAATTTGTATAGCTTACAAGCAATTAAAAACACTAAACTTTACATTTTTAAATGTAATGTCAAATCAGTACTGTTGTATGCAGCAGAAACATAGAGAAAAAACAAAGTCAATTACTAATAAACTACAAACATTCATTAACTGCTGCATGCACAGAATACAGGGAATTAAATTATTTGATAAAATCTCTAATGTAGAGCTTTGGGATAGATCTAAACAAGCTTCAGTGGACCAAGAGCTGAAGAAAAGATTCTGGGATGGATAGGAGACACGCTGAGAAAACCTGAAAACAATATGACTAGAATGTCTTTGCACTGGAATCCACAAGGGCACAGAAATCAAGGAAGACCAAAAAACACATGGAGAAGAGAGCCTGAATGTGAAGTCAAAAAGATGGAGGGGAATTAGGGAGAGCTGCATGTGATAGCGAAGGATAGAACGACTTGGTATGAGTAGACTGAGGGCCTATGCTCCACTAGGGTTTAGAAAGACAGAAGAAGACATAACTAATAGTCATTTATCACAAGATCAATACCTTAATAACCAAAGTATACTGTAAAAATGAACACATTACAACTATCCCTGCTGTATAAAATTATATTTTTTATTACCTTGGTAAAATCCAAAGAATTCACAATCAAGCCTTCCATGCCTTCAGTAAACTTGATGCTGAAAGAAAACATTTCAAATCTGAATACATCTTAACCAAGATAATTATCCATCGAAGGGTGTTAAAAAAAAAAGCTGTTTATGGGTGAGACAATAACTTTCTCACACCAGGTGTTATCCCATATGAAAGAAAAGATGCATGAGAATTATCAACATCTTTATCAATCAAGGTTTTGAAAAAAAAAAAAAAAAACAGGCCACTTACTTAGAGAACTGAAAATCATAAACAAGTAGTCTAGAGGTTTCAATTAGTAAAATAAACAAAAAAATTTAAAAAAAGTTGTATGAGGGAAGGGGGGGGGGACGCTTACAAGACAAGAATAAGTAAGTTAGTTAGTCATTATGGTTCCCGCATCACAGCAAACAAGCTTGGCCCAGAATTGCTCAACCACCTATGCCAGTGATTTCAGGTCACAAACTGAGTCAGATATTATGGATACTTTAAGTGAATGCTGTAGCCATACAATGTGTCCTCAGTCAGCAAAACACACACGATTTGATGTGGCAAACCATAAGGTGCATGCCTCCCTAAAAACACTGTGAGACCAGGCGTCATCGCTAAAAATCAACTTCATTCGACGAATAGTTAGGCGATGAGTAGATTAAAACTATTCCTGACCATACTCCACATGTCCTCGGCCAAGTTGCAGCCACGGCCAGCAAATAAATAGCAGCTGTAGCACACGCCTTGTCCCAGGAGCACAACGAAGAAAAATACATCACCCAATATTGCCATTATGTACGAATCTGGAACTCAGTCAATAACCGATAATCACAGCTCATAGTGCCGCCAGGAGCACTAAACTCAGTAGTTCCAACTGCAAAACAGACTACAATCTTGCAGCATCCAAACTGAAGGAGAAACGGCGACATGACAAGAATAACAAATATGTATATTTAGAGAATGGAATATTTCTGAATAATAATTAACTGTTGAGCAGGTTGGGACATGTCAATCACACGGGGGACGGTCGCATTTCAAAGGATCTCCTGTACGCAGGGTTCGTAGCCAAATTTACAAATCAATTTCAATGCTTTTCAAAGTATTCTTAGCCTATTCAAGGTTGTGTCGTGGTAAAACTGGCAAGGTATTTTTGCCTTGTTCAAGGGTGTACCAAGCACACACAGAACTTTACTTGTGTGCAAACCTGTAGGTATACCAGCACAGTAAAGTGTTTTTACATTTGTTTCAAGACGTAGTGGCAGAGAGGACCAAATTGAAGTCATATCTGTTCTAGACCTGATACCTGAAGAGCGGAGGGAGAGGGGGGAGGGAAAGAGAGAGAAAGTCATACAGAGAGGAGGAAGACAGATGCTGAGGTAGAGTAGGAGACAGAGTGCGAAAGACAGAGAGGGAGACGGGAAAGACAAGTATAAAGAGATGGACAGATGAGGAGAGGAGAGAGAAGGGAGGGACGGAGAGAAAAAGATGACAAAGAGAGGGATGGAGAGAGAAGGGACAGACATTGAAGGGGATGTAAGCAGAGAGATGTAGAAAAAAAAGGAGAGACAGTGTGATATAGAGAGGCAGACAGAAGGAAACAGAGAGAGAGAGAGAGAGAGAGAGAAAAGCAGAGCAAGAGAAGGGAGGGAGGTAGACACAGAAAGACAGGGAAGCAGTGACACACAGAGAGGTCAAATGCTAGAGGCGCTAACAAAAAAAAAAGATAAAAAGAAGAAAAGAACTAATTTCAAAAGAAAACATTGCAAGAAAAAGAAAACCAACCTGACGCTGAAATCCCACTCCCTTCCCCAGCCATAATACAATTTCTTGTGAACTGGACACAGCTACCAGATAGAGAGAAGCCAAGGAGATGAAGGCTAGAGGAGAGGGAAATAGGATGGAAGATGAGAGGGGGCAGGAAAGACAGCTAGAGACCAGAGTAAGGATAGAGAGGGAAAAAAAAAAGGGGGGGGGGGGGGGGTTGAGAGGAAGAAGTGTGATAGAAAGGATAGAAGAGAGGTAGAAGAGTGCAAGATCCAAGAGAATGGGGGTGAGAAAAGATAAGAGGGAAGATATGGGGGTAGGGTTGAGAGAACGATGAGAGCCAAACATCTTGTAGAATAAGCTGTGCCAAAAACAACTGGGAAATCTAAGTGACATCACTTTTCCTAGCTCCCACCCTCTCCCCAAAATACAACTGCTGTGTGAAAGATGGGTGTTTAGAAGAGCTGAATGTATGACTTGTCTGCGAACTCTATTTGTTACCCTTTGAAAATAACAGTCAAGAAACAACCCGCTCTCGTCTCATGGTGGCAATTGTTTTTAGAATTATACATATATTTAATGCCTGAAATGTGGGGGCAGGGGGGATGTTCTGCATCGGATACCAGCTGACCTTGCTATGCCAAATGAAGGGAGGGAAGGGGGACGAGGAGAAACGAGACAGGCGAAGATAGCTAGCTCTCTCTGCATCGTCCTTACCCCACGCTGCAAAGCAAACAACGAGACTGTAAACCGCCAATCACTTGCCCAGCTCATCGATTGCCGGCACACATTTAAAACGACAGTAGCCCACAGTTTACTGATGATAATTAAACAGTAGTGTAACCACAAAAACTGTGACCACAAAAAGCTCCCTAGCTGAAAATCACAGGAAATTCTACTTTTGTTATCTCTGACACAGTGTGCAAAGTTCCAGGACTGGTGGGTAAAACCCAGGAATTTTGTCAGTTTTCATACAAATCCTGAGTTTTTTCCAGACCTTGACAGAGATCTTGCATTTCCCAATTTTTACCAGGTTTTAAGGCCCACTACAAACCCTGTCTGGTGAACTGGTAACAGGGACAAGACCTGCAGAAAGGCCAAAACTACGCTATAAGGACATATACAAACCTGAAAGATATCAGTACTGTCATAGATACTTGGGAGAGATCAGCTGCAGACCGACTCATTTGGAGGCAGACTGAAAGACTGACTACTGCAGTTTTAAAAAGGATAAACTCAGCAAGCTATAGAGAGGAGACTTCTGAGAGAAAACCAGTCTCAGAATGATAGCATGTGACAGAGACTGCCTGTGCAGAACATAGGGAATAAATGGTATAATAGAATCACTAATGTAGAACTTTGGGAGAGAATTAAGCAAGCTCCGAAGGACCAAGAGGTGAAGAAAAGGCGCTGGTGTTGGATAGGACATACATTGAGAAAACATTATAACTAGAATATCTTTGCACTGGAACCCACAGGGATATAGGTTTAAAGGAAGGCTAAAAAATACATTGAGAAAGGAGCTGGAGAATGAAGTTAGAAAGATGGGGAGGACATGAGGAGAGCTGCATGAGATAGCAAAAGATAGAAAGACTTGGCGTGAGTTAATTGAGGGCCTATGCTCCATAGGGAGCAAGAAAGGCAGAAGAAGAATGTGGCACAGACTGCCATTCCCGCACTTTACTTCACAGTCACAGCAGACGGTGTTCCCCAAACCACAGGCACAACTCCATGGTCTCCAGGGACTGATGGCTGCTGCAGTCTCTGTTGAATTTTCTTCCTGCTATGTGTAAAACAATCATCTTGATTTACAACTATCAACTGAAATAACTATCTATCTGACTGTATTCTTACTCTTACTAGACTTCGGGTCTAATAATGGCAGACAGTAATGCTGATTTTGTCATGTCTGCTGCTTCCTTTAACAATGAATGCAATTCTGGCAGTGGACAGATGTGGTTGGCACTCAAGCGGCTGCCTTATGCATTCAATGTGTGTACATAATTCTGGTCTTCCCAGGAGTTTTCAATTTTTGCAGGGAACAGTAGCAATTATGAGGTCAACTGCTGCCATTAGTTTGGAACCGTGGATAACAATATTATTTCTTACTGATTTCTTTTCTCTTCTTTTAAAAAATCCTACAAGCCATTCTTGGTCAGAAAAATGCCTGCTGATGTCAGATGTGTCAGCCAAAAGGCATAAATAAAGTAGCCATGTTGTAAATGGGCAAAATGCATTCACATCTGCTGACGAAGGCAAATGAAAAAGAGTGTTTACCTAATCAATTTTTGTGCAGCAAATTTTCGCAGATACTCTTCAACCAACAACAAATCAACCTCTCGCTCCATCAGTCTTGACGTATGCTCCATGATGACCTGGACAGAATGAAAGAAACCGTATTTAATTTACAACTCAAAAAAAGGTCAAACAAAAGAAACTCTTCCTTCAAAATCTGTACGTGTATGCGGGAGCCACTGTGGCATAGCGGCTAGATGCTCACTTTGGGTTTGAAAGTCATGAGTTCTAATCTGCACTGAGTCTTGAATTTTTTCTCAATAATGACCTTAGTTCCCAGGTCTGTCCAGTCTAAAATGAGTATCAGGTAAAGTCCTGTGAAGTAAAGGTGGCCAGTGTGATACTGACCACATTATCTACTAAGCGCTAATTGTCTTTAAAATATAGGCATAGCTTTATACCCCATACACCTAACGGTATGGAAAAGGGTCCTTTATATGTATATGTGTCGCCAAACATATTCTTTACCAACAACAATGTTGCTGGTGATAAAGATCTGACAATTTCAGGAGGGAATACTTATCAATAAAACTGTGACAATAAATAAAAGCACTTCAATATTCTGATAATTACTTGCCGGAGTGAAATCCCATACTACGTAACAATGCAATGGAGCTGTTTTGTTTAGTCAAACAATTCAGTTTCACCTCATCTTCTTTTGCCCTCACCTTACGTTAGAGCATAGGCCCTCAACCAATACACCAAGCTGCTCTATGCTGCAGCTTCCTCCATGTTCTTCTTCTTCTCTTCCACCTTGTACCTCAGCAAAGTGTCAGGGGAAGTGTTAACATTCGTTGATGAGCTGTCAAAAGCACTATTAAGACTGATGTTCATTTCTGTAAGGCTGTTCTTAATGCTATCACTCCATATTTTCCGAGGTCTTTCACTCGCTCTATACCTGTTGTTCTTTGATGACTTGTAAGATTGGCTTTATTCCAAGCATTTGTCTGATTTCGTATTCTGTCTTTCCTTGAAACTCCTGCAGCTCTTCTGAGGCATTTCATCTCTGCTGTCACAATTTTATATTCATTGGAGGATGTTAGTGTCCATGTTTGGCACTGATAGCATAGTGTTGGCCAAAAATTAGTTCTGATAAGATTCACTTTAGTAATCCGGGGTTTCTGCTTGTGTGCTTCCTCCATGTACTCCACAATTATCTCATGTCCCTTAAGGGCTCCAGTAAAAGAACATTCTAGTTACACTATTATAGTTTTCTTAATATTTCCTAAAGAAAGCTAGTGTCTTTTCTTCATCTCTTGATTTGCTGAAATTTGTTTGGTTCTATCCTTCAACTATACATCAGTGACTGTGCCATACATTGTCTTCTTTCTAATCTGTCTAGAGGAGCTATATACAGGAAAATACATTACATGCTACATTATGGGGAGTTTATAAACTGTACGGTCATTCTACATGTTAGTTCTGCCTCTTTTACAATATGTTTATTAATTTTTTTTAAATTTATCAGCATTCAATACCTATCATGATTTCTCACACTATATATTGGTATCTTCGTCATCCCCCTTGAGGGATGAAATTTTTCGTTATTTTGAAGGCCTACCTAGTCTGTTGCCAATATAACCTAACTTGAACGCAGTTTCAGGGACATCTCCACAGATCTGCATGATGGCACTTTGTGTCACCGGGTGTTTATTGCTCTGTGTGATGTCATTAGTGGGGTTAAACTTACTTATTTACTTACTCACACTATATAGGGTTTAACCTTAATTTTTTTAAAAATAGATTTCAACATTTTCTTTATGAATTTTAAGCCACAGAAGTTGTGATAAGGTGAGAATACAAATTTAAAAAAACAAAGACACACACAGATAGAAGGGGGAAAAAAGAAAAAAGGAAAGAATATATATATATAAATATAAAATAATGTTTCAATACCTTAGAATCTGAAGGAATATCCAAACTAATATCACACAACACCATCAACAACTTCTTCTCAACCTCTGGATCAGTTGCAACTTTGACGGCAGTGCTGGCAGTAGTTGCAGTCTGAACTTTAGAAATCCCAGAAGCAGCTGGTTGTTCTGTGAATGATACAGTTATATTACTATTAGTGATGATGAAATCAGGGGTGGCTGCAGTCGAGCTGATATCAAGAAGCAACTGAACAGTCACAGTGGAGTTTTCCAGTCATATGTGACACTAAGTCAAAGTTACTTGAGCGCAATTTTGGAAATGTTTACTAGAATGCATGTTCAGGTCTGTTATTTGTCACTTTACAATATGTCAAGGGCAGACATATGAATTCCTACTCCAACACAATTACTTTTTCATGCAAGTGAGGAATTTTCATATTATCTTCTTCTTCTTTGCATTCGGCTTCGTCTGCTCAGAACACCAGGTGGGCTGCCTCTATAATTACACATGTACGTTGCAAGTTCCTCATGGTTCCCCACAGCCTGATCTGCAAACTGTGCAATGAGGCCAAGTTTCTCTTTGTAGTTGAAAGTATAGTCTAGTGGTTAGGATTCCTGGCTTTCACCCAGGCGGCCCGGTTTCGATTCCCGGCATGGAAACATAACTTGGGGCAGCATCAGCGCAGTCGAAAGGAGACCTGCTTTCAAATCCAGCTGCGACTCGCTGCAGCCCACGGCCGGTGTTCGAAACCTGGCGGTCGCTGTAGGGACGTCACTGTAGCTAGTTTTGTGTGGACGCCGACACAGGCGGACAGTTTCTTATCAGCTGTCCGTACTGACGGCAGAGCACATGGTTTATAACCGCGTGCAATGATGCTGATTCACATCTCCCGACTTTACCTTTAAGTATAGTAGGCAGACCTGCAGAATGTGCTCAGGTGTTTGTGATCCCATCTCACATGCACACAGTAGGACAGTAGTCTTTATTTCATATAATCTCAATGTTTAAAAAAAAAAATTTTTTAATTAGAATTTAGCAGCTGGGTCATCACAACTTAATTTTCAATGCCCATTTTTTCCTCATTGCTCATCGTCTTCTTCTTCTGTTCATGCTTAAAAGGGCAGTTAGTACATTATTTTGTGAATTAGTTAGGCTGCGATAACATTTCAGTTTCAGCAACTACGACACAAATGTGATTTCACTATATATTGGTCAATTAAAACTGTCATAATTAATAATGATAAACCATTAGGTTTAATTTTTTTTAATGTAGCAATTTTACTCTGTTCAAAATGTTATTGTTTGGATTGTTACACCATTACAATAATGATAAATCCCCCTGCAATAGCAAAAACAGTTGTTTATCATAAATAAAACTGTTTGTAAACTGCAGGGTTAAGTTTAAGTAGTGATTTCTTTAAAGAAAAGACAGGCGTCTAGTCAAGAATTGATATCACAGCATTCCCATGTGTGCTCAGTCCTAATCTTCAGCAGCCAGCCCATAGTTTCAGTACCAATGGTACAGGTCGTAATCTGGTTATATGTCCGTTTTGCCTTTCGCCCGAGTTTAGTGACCCCGCCAGACCCCTGGTTACACCCAGGTGCCTCATTCTCTCCAGGCCATAATAATCTTGTTTTGCTTCAGACTCTACTGCTTGTTCACAAAGAGCCCTAACCTCATCTGCCCTGTCAGGTATCAGCTATCCTCCGAATAACAGACACATATTATGGCGGCCAAAAACAGGACCTCAGTCACATGTAAACTGCGAACTTCCAGCAACTTAATTTGCGGACTTCCTCTGACTGTTGCCACCGCCGAGATATCCCCTATGCTGCATGGATTGGGGCTAAACTAGAGGGCTGGGACTCACAAGCAAAGCTGCAGGAGATGCGGAAGCTGCTGGTCGTGAGTCCCAGCGATCTAGTTTAGACACAATCCACGCCGTGTGAGCAGCGTGGGGGATATTTTCTGCGGTGGCAGTAGTCGCTGGTAGTCCACAAATTAGGTCGCAGGATGTGCACAATTGACATGTGACTGAGGCACTGTTAGGGTGTTTTTGCAGCCGCCATAATATGTGCCCGTTATTCAGAGGATAGCTCATGTATCAATCTCAGCCTTGTATTATCAGTTAAAAGCGGCATCTGCATTGGGAGTACCAACTGTATCTTTTGTTTGTGTACTTGTTAATATTGAAAGAAAACAATTAATCAATACACAGAAACAGAAGCGAAGCATCCCAGTAAATAATATAAAATTACTGATTTTAAAACGAAGATAAAGCGCATGTGAAGAAAGCACCTGTAACATGCATAGTGTTTAACATATAGCTCTATTACCTAAAGCAGGCGACTGGATATTTGCTGGGACTATCGATGGTGATCCACTACTGCTCGATAATTCGATTAATTCTGCAACTATGCCTTCCCTTTGCTTGCGACGAGCTATCATTTTAGCTCTCATATTATTTTGTTTATTTTTAATCGCTTGGATATCATTCCAAGTGTCCGACAT